TTTATCACTATTAATCCATTTTGCTTTACTGATATTTAACCATAAACATGAAACAATAAATGCTATCCATGCTGCTAAGACTATGCCCCACCAAACCTTTGCTGAATGCTGAATGCTCTATGCTATAAGTACATTACAGTGTTTATTTCTTTTTAACTGACAGCTAAATAGCATGTTCCTCAAAATTGAGCTTGCATATACAGGTAATGTGCTGGAAGGCTTTTAAAGTTACCCAGCAAGTTCTCAAATATAGGGGAGTTTGACATGGCGGGGGGATGTCAAAATAAAACATGGAATGATAAATTAAGGATTAAAATGAAAAGGTGCCGTAAACCCGACGTTCCCAAACATGGTTGCATGTTAGAATCTGAACTTTAAAACATTCTATGCCCAAACTATCCTTACTAAGTTGGAGTATCTGACTGTGGAGCATGCTCAGCCCTGGCTTTCAGTCTTCACCTTGCAGATGTAGCAGGCTGGTGCAGGAACTGCTGCTGCCTCCATATGGTCTTCTGAGCCACAGCCCTACCTCACCTGAGAGCTTGTTCTGCATGTGCAGTGTTTCAGTTCTGAGTGTGAGCACCTAAAAGTCCGGGGGATCCTTTTCTACCTGGATTACACTAGGATGCCTCCAAAACAGGTGTAGCCAACTAATCCCCATGGTCTATTTATACTAACAGAGTTTCACACCAATAAAGCCATTCCTGCTTGTTTACATGTTATTCACAGCAACATTGAGTCACTAAACTGAACTAACATGTTGATCCACCTTTGACTTCCGTAGACACGTGCATCCACATATTACCATACACACAGAGAAATCTGAATGACCTTTCTCTCCCACACACACCAAGAACCAGACCTCTGAAACTGAGCCAGAATAAGCCAAAATGAGCCTTTTCTGTATAAAATCCATGTATAAAATTTTCCTGTATAAAAATTCCATGACATTTTGCCACAATGGTAGAAAACTGATACAGATTCCTTGAGTCCAATTTGGAACTGGAATGGTCTTTTGAGCAAGGCAATGGGTACAAGTCTGGGGTTTGGGTGCAGTTTGACATATTTGGGTGTAAAATCTGGTCCTGTTGCTTAAACATGTACGGATAATGTATAACATATATATATATAATATATAACATATATATATATAATATAGCTAGAGTATCATCCTTAGCTATTTTCTTCTGTTGTATAGATTTTAAAAGACACAGCTTTTCATGTGTAAAACATAATTAAAGTAGGTGATCAGCAATATAATTTTACTTTATTTTTGAAGTGATTATTTTACTGAGTTATAAATGGCAGTATGTGTGTGTGTGTGTGCGCGTGCGCACATTTTTATCCCACATTGGCCTTTTTCTATTTTGTTAGTGAGCCTTGACGCTAAGGCAGTGACATCTAGAGGTCATTAAAGAAACAAGCCCTTTTCTCTTCAGCTCCTATGAATCTTAGGCTAACAGTACTGGACCTCCTTCCACAGGCAGATGCCCTCCAGTATTCTTCACTCCAAGAAAACTTCCTTGAGAGCTAAGTGTCTGCTTTTTATGCACAGACTCTATTGGCCAGGCACTGTCTTCTGGGTAGCTCCTGTTAGGGAGACACTCAGCTAGCTGAGTGGGCTTCTCACACAAGGTTGGAAGCTGCCCTAGTTTGCTTTCTGTTGTTGTCATAAACACCACAACCAAAAGAAACTTAAAAGAAAGTGTTACACTTTATAACCCATCATCCAGGGAAGCCAAGGCAGGAACTCAAAGTTACAGCAGTAACCATGGAGGAATGCTACTTTCTTATACAGCCCAGGGCCACCTGTCTAGGGATGGTCCTGCCTGCAGTGGGCTGGTCTTTCCTACATCAGTCCACAGTTAAAAGAATGCCTTATAGACATGGCTACTGGCCAGTCCGATCTGAGCATTTCATTTCTTCAGCTGAGTTCTCTTCCCAAATGACTCCACATTTGTGTCAGGTTGACAGCTAAAGCTAGCCGTGATCTGTGTGGGCTTTATGCCCCTTCATTCCTCTTATTCCCAGCTCCATATTCACCCACCTCCACTGAAGAAAATCCTTTATTGTATTATATGTTTGCAAGTCATTAGAGTGTGTCAGTCTGAAAACCCCAGCCTTTTAAAATAAAAAATAAATTCTGTTCAAACTTTCAGGAAGTGGTATTCTATTTTTGGTTCCATAAATCATACATATGTACCTACATACACACTCCAGTCTGTGCACACAAACACAAAGACAAGAGCATGTGTGTAGCTAACCCAGGAATAGCTGTCACATTGCTAGTGAGTCTACCCTAGTTGGCTACTTCAAGCTCTCTGCCTGTCACTTTATGACATGTCACCATAAGGTCTCTTGATAGTCTGAAGTCTGAAACCATACTCTATGGTCCTGACCTCTGACCTGATTTAATGACTTTGATTGGTTGATTGATTGATTGAGTGAGTGAGTAACTGATTGACCGATGGACTGATTTGCACAGTCTGACAAAAACGGCAAAGATTGCTCTGGATTTTAGTCTTTCTGAGCTCCTTGAATCATCAAAACCTTAGGTCAAACAGTGTCAAAAAATTCCGAGTGTTGCCCAAGTGTCACTTGTGTGAGCTTTTCCTCTTTGTCATAACAGCTGAAACGAACAGCTGAGCCATAGTGGATTTTGGCTGGCAATCTTGGAGCTTTCTGGAAACGGTGGTTTGGCCCTGTTGCTTCAGACTCTGTGCCGTGGGGAATAGTGTATGGTAGAATGGAGCTTCTCGCTTCAGGGAAGCTGGGAATGGAAAAGACAGGAAAGGAAAGGAGTGGGGGTCCCAACATCTCCTTCCAGAACATTCTCCCAGTGGCCTGGCTTACATCCATAGGACCCTATCTGTTAAGGGTTCCATCGCTTTCTACTGCTGCCCCAGCCAAGGACCAAGCCAACTTTAGAGGAATACTTACCATTCAAATATTAGCATTTAACACTTCCTGCTTTAATGCCTACCATAACACTGATGCTTTAGATTCAGTGTTTAAGTCATTATTATACTTAAAACTTGAAAACAAAGAAAAGGCAGATACATCTTAATTCTTTTAATCTGAAATCATTTTTTTTTTTTTAATTTCTAGATAGTTCTTTTCTGCTAATTTCTGTTCCTGCTTCTGACCATGGAGTTTTCTGTGTTTTCCTTTTATTCCTCCATCAGGTCTCTGTGATCTCCCCTCCATCACCTTGTATTTTATTCCTCCCTTGCGTCTCTGCGACCTCCTCTCCATTGCTCTTTGTTTGTGTTGTGTTTCTCTTTCCCTTGTTTTTTCCGCGTTTGAGGCAGTGCCTTTTTAGATTCGGCTCAGCAGTGCTATCCAGCTTTCCATCAGATTGGTAAGACTGGATTCTCAGTAGTCTAGGTCTCTTTCACATTCCCTCCCTCCATTTGCAGGTCTGCCTCTCTGGTTAGAATAATAACTACATTAATATTCTTTAGCGACGTAGGAACATACTCTGAACATCATCTTTTGCTCCCAAAGTGGGATTCTTCTCAGGTGAGAAACGCTCCCTTTGAGCCATCAGTATTTCCTCCTACTTCCTTTGTGAGTTGGGCGTGCCCACCTCTGGGTCATAGGTTGATTTTTACATATTATTGAAACAGTTCTGCAGTGTTCCAGTTACGCGCCTTTTCTTCAAGGAGAAGGTACTCTGGCTTCACCCTGGGGCAGAGGTCTCTAGTGGATCTCATGACTGGTGTCATCTCACCATGCAAATTAAACTTCCTTCCCTGCCTGCCTTGAGGGGAGCAGAATAACTTCTCACCCTAATCATGCAGTGTCACACCTGCCGCTGAGGGAAGAGGAAATCCCTGGGGAGCGAGCACCCCAATGCTTGCTCATGGCATTTGGCAATAGTTCTCCATAAGGTCTCTGGTTGATTTGGATTTTTTTTTGTTTTTGTCTTTTGAGACAGGGTTTCTTTGTGTAGCCCTGATTATCAGGGAACTTTCTCTGTAGATAAGACTGGCCTCGAACTCACAGAGATCTGCCTGTCGCTGCCTCCTGAGTGCTGGGATTAAAGGTATGCACTACCACTTCCCTGGTGATTTAGAATATTTTTTATCGCATGGCTTTGAATTAGACAGACTGATCCTTGAAGGGAGATGAGACAAAAGAAAGAACTGGGTGTGGTGGAGCATCTCTGCAATCCCAGCACTTGGGAGGTAAAGGCTGGAGGGTCAGGAGTTCAAGGCTAGTCTTTACTACAGAGTGATTTTGTGGCCAGCCTGACTACATGACACCCTGTTTCTGAAAAACAAAACCTAAAATGACTCATTGATTATTGCCCCTCCTCACTTAGAAGCTGTAACTCTTCGATTAAAGAGAGGCTACAGATACAAAAATCGTTGACATCAGTGAAAACAGAACTGTTAGTTTTGAATCCTGAAGTTGTGAAGTGTGGTAGCTCACTCATCTGTGTTTGTTTTTCTCTTTTGTTTTGTTTCTAATTGAGAGAAAATAAACAATTTTATAGAACATTTGTAGTTCTCTGGGCCAGAGTCTTTCTTTTATCTAGGTTGAAAATAAAGATTAGAAAAAAGTCATCAAAGACATAAGATGATCCGATTTATTCTTAATCTGCTCTTAAGCATAAGGTTATCCTGAATGAGCACATTTCCAAGTATTTTTCAGAAACCCAAATTCTGCCAGATCACTGGGTAGCTCAGAAATGGGACTTTACAATGGAACTCACCAGGGGAGACAATCCCCCTTAACACGGGCCCTCTCATCTAGCTTCTCCCTTAAACATGCTTTCAAATAGCTCACCTTTAACAAGAAAGCCCATTTACCAGCTAAGACTAAGCCAGTGGAGAGTCAAAATGAAGCAACGGTCCCAAGGTACTGGAGCATTCATCTTCTCAAGGCCTCCGCAGCCCTTTGAGCAGACATGAGTGACAGTCACTCAGACCACAGGCTGGGAGCATGACAGCCAAGCACTGAGAATAACACCTCTGTCTTGTTTCTCTTTCCAGGCTTGAGATTTTTAAGAGCTCTCAGACTGATACAGTTTTCAGAAATTTTGCAGTTTCTGAATATCCTTAAGACAAGGTAAGATGGTTTCCCCCCTGTCTGGTTCCCGAGGGCCAGGCTGTAAATATCAAGTATATTTGCTATGATCTTGTTAAAAGGATAGAGTTGTGTTATTCACAGGAAGAACTAGCTGGAGAGTTAGCCTACTAAGGTAGGGCTTGCCTTTTTCTCTTCTGCAAAGCCTTGGAGAAATAAGAGAAAAGGGGAGGTGTGGTTATATCCCTGGGAGGAAGATTCAGTATGGCAAGGTCACATGACTGGAATCTGGGCACCAAATGAGGTTGCAACAGAAGCTCATGGGATAGGTGCATGGAGGATGAGGGATGGATTTGCTCATTGATTGGGAAGTCCATGCTGCCAGATCCTAAATGCCTTTTTAGTTACTACTAAACAAGAAACTGAACTTGGCCATAAAGGGAAGAGAAGCAATGCTCCTTGACAGGCAGTCACAAACCTCATAGGGCAAACAGAAAATCATTTCATTCCTAAGTTTATTTGAGCTGTTTCACTTTATATCTATGGAACCCTTGGGATGTGCTCTGCAGACTGCCTTGTGGGGGAACCCTAAACACCTCCAGGCAAATGTACAATGGTTGCATCTGCTGACCACATAATGGTCTGAAAAACATGACTAGGAGAGGAGCAGAAATCCCCTAGGGAACACCCTGCCTGGTGACTTATCAGTGCCCAGAGCGGGCCTGAACCCCGGGCTGCACTGGTGAACACACTAATAAAAGGGTTAGGGGCACTCTAGTGGGGACTGAGTGCTGCTCACAGATTTCTCTACTAGGACATTACATTTTAAGAAAACCCCTTCTGATGTCCCATTTCCTCTTTGCTTGGCTCTAATGTGTCTGATGAGTGACAGGAAGCAGGACACTTCTGTATTTTGTCATGTATAATTAATGGACATGCCATTTGAGGCTTGGGACTCTGTGTTGATTTTTTTTAGTCATGAAATGTGGAGCCTGGCTTCTAGAATCTGATATGTTCAACAAGTGTGCCTTTATTTTGTTTTTGGTTCTTATTTTAATTCCAGATTACCCCTTCCAACTATTCATCTGTATGAATAAGAGATGAAGATTCACTCTTTATAGATTGATCAAAATGTAAAAGAGCCACTGAGCTCTCTTAAGGTGTGCCCTATCCCTTTATGTTTTATCTTCTGAGGTAAAGATTTATGACTTCTCTGTTTTTTTTTCTTTATAATATCATTCATAGATAGTAATTTTTTACATTTCCTTTGAGCAATAGTAGCCTTAAGTTTTTACCTTAAAGTTTTATCCTTTATGCAATAGACTTGTATTGTTTTTGAAATAGAAACAGTTAACAAAGGTAGCATATCTATCTAGGCCCCTTAATTCTAGTACTAGGGAGTCAGAAACAGGTAGAGCTCTGTGAATTTGAGGCCACCTACGTCTATATAGTGAGTTCCAGGCCAGTCAGGGCCACACAGTGAGACTTTGTCGCAAACAAAAACAAACAACAACAACAACAACAACAAAAAACAAATCTAGTGTGCCTTGTATTAACATATACTATAACATATAACATCACGAATTTAGCGTGCCTTGTATTAACATGTACTGAACTTGTGTCACAAGGCTGATTTTTTGTTTAAACCCGGGGAGAGTTGGTGAGTATGTAATGCCAAGTCTGGGGCCTTGTCCTTAAAATTTATGGAGCGGGTGTAGACGTGGAGTTTGTTATAATGGAGCCATTCACAGGCTCCCACAGGCTCTCAGCTCTCCTATTTGTCTTTTACCTCATCAATTAATGAGACGTTTTCCCCATGATATTGGGTTTCTAGGAAGATTCCAGTCTCCTGAGCGATAATGCAACTAGAATAGCGTTCTCGCCCTCCTCGTGTGTGCACAGCCTTTCGGCCTCATCGTGATGTGCCTGCCCTCTGGGCGTCTTTGACCAACCTTGTTCTAGGGCACTCACCCATTCCTGCTTCTCAGTGAAGCAGCCTTTGTTTAGATTCAGAAGTCAGCTCTGGCTGCCCCTGGAAAAGAGCCTCTTCCTAGCTCTGCAGTCCTGGTGGTGCTTCATTTTCTAAGTGAAGGAGGGAGAGGGGGAAAGCTGCTGGCTGGAGGAAGAGGGGAGTGTGCTTCTCAGAGGCAATGGTTTTCCAGCCGATAGCAGCAATTGGGTGCTTGCAATTCTTGCCCTCAAATGGCATTCTCTCAGGACCTCCCCACTTCTTATATAAGAAATTCTTACTCTCAGGCACCCTTTCTTTAGAACCCCACAGCGTGGATGTTCTGGGTTCCTTTTGTTTGCAGTTACAACCAGGCTGTGTGAGGCCCCGGGTCTAAAGCAAGTGTCTATGTATGTAAAAGTGAGTGTATGATGAGTGCCCCAGTGAGAGGCCTTATGGGTGGGGAAACTCAGAATCAGATTTCCTGTCAGAGTGGTCAGGGTTAAAACAGGAGCAGCCTGGATCTGGGAGGCACAGAGGGTCATTGCGCTTGGCCTGGGAGGACTTATGCAGCAGGCAGGGTCTGTTCAAGTGAAGATGGAAACCTTAAAAAAAAATTAGGTCTCTGTCATTCTCCTGGGCCTGGAGGATGGTCACAGAAGGGTAGGGAAGATGGCCTGAGTTCAATCAAGATATTTGTAGAAATCACACACTGAGAGAACAGGAGCCCTGTAGGACCTTTGAACCAGTAAATGCTCCCGAACATTCTGTGGTTGAGACGAGGAGGGTGAGCTCAGGTAGGGAAGCCAAAGCCTAGTCTCCGGGCCCAGAGAAACACTTCCTTCAGCTACAGAAAGTTTAGGTGGGTTGTGGCACCGTCTTTTCAAGTGCTCAGCTTTTCAAGTGCCCTGCTTCCCCCTACAGTCACTCCAAGTCTCTTTCTCAAGGCTCTGGACAAGAAATGAAGCCCTGACTAGTGCCTTGGCCTTGGGCAGGTCTCTTGTGGGTTCTGTACACCCTGGCGCTTTCTCAGTGGTGGGGAAGCTTCTCTAGTGGTGACCCCTGCTGACCCGTGGTGGTGTTAGGTCAGGAGGGAGTCTTTACAAAGGTGACGAAACAGCACTTTGAAGAGCATGGCTTTGTTTCCTGTTCTTCCATTGCTTCATTCGGCTCAGAATTGAAGTAAGTAGGACACAGAAATAAGTGTAGAAGGGGAAGGATGAAGAATGAAGAGGTCAGCGGAAGGGACCAGAGTGAACAGGGGGACAGACGAGGAACACTGGATAGCCGGAGTCAGGATGAGTGCCAAGCTGTAAGTTAATCCTGGCATGGCCTATTTTAGGCAGACAAGAGATGCTGGGCCATTTGTGTGAGCTTTGGGACATTCCTCAGTTGTCCTTGCAAGCTGATGGCATTCATGGGCAACTTTCAGTGCTGGGTCATTTGCTCTGCCATGAGCGCCAACCTGCTTAAGGGCTAAAATCCCACATATCACTGAACATGGTCAACAATGTTTGTTAAAACACGGCTTACCTAGTATGGGCTTTTATTTTTCAAATTGCTTTATTGCTTCCTCTAATTGTTTAAGTAACATGTGCTCCCTGTGAATATTTGTGCCATTTTATGGAAGAGTGTACAGGGTGAAGTAAAACACTCTACCCCCTGTGCTGTGCAGTGTCAGCCATTGCTCTCTGCCAATTCTATCTCCTATGTAGCCTATGTGAACAGCCACCACCAGATACCTAAACAAAACACCTGCGGAGCATTAGTAGAATTAATTGTCTTACATGTATGACCTCAGAAACGACTCCAAGGCTATCTATGAAGCAGGATATTTGTGATGGCAGTTCAGAAGGGGATGAGGTTGAAGTCATACCCTGATGTCACTTAGACTGAGGGGTTGTTTGGAGAACAAGACAGAGATGTTGAAGGCTTTTAATTGGAAGAGAAAGTATGGACACTTACCATTCTAAAAACCCGTGCTTTCACTCAGTGTATAGAATTGGTTTGAGGTGTCTAAGACTTCAAAAATCTGAAGGTCAGAAAGGAACAGTAGCCCAGGGAAGGGCTGTTAGGACGTAGCCTCCAGCAGGTCAGGTGGACAAGAGGAGAATAGTGTAGAGATAACTAAGGACAGACTGACCCGGTTGATTTTGCTCTATTTTGTGTCTCCAAGTTGATTCATCTCAGTGCAGTATCATCCAATCAGCTCTCCCGTTTGGGGCACTTTGCAGTGAAAAGAAACAAGACTGCTGGCTCCTGGCTGCTCTTTCAAGCAGGAAACAGTGGAAGAAAGGGGCAGGGCAGATTCATGCTTGCTGGTGCAAAGTGCCTGGCATTTTTGGAGTTAACCAGATATGTGTTGTGTTCTGTAAGGGTAGGGGTGAGGTATCTTTGACCTTACTGCTCTGATTTTAAGAGTTAGGCTCTCTTGCCAAGCACCCACGAGTCCTGGGAAAGGTCACCGATCTACCAGACTTCTGCTTGCACACTGGTTCACCTTCACACATTCGTGCGGATGACTAGTGTCTGGTGGCAATCAGACTTTCATCACCATGCCAAAGTTCCCAAGAGAACAACTTCAAGGAGCAAAGAATGATTTGGGCTCAGAGTTTCAGAGGTTTTAGGTCTATGGTCAGCTGGCTTTGTTGCTCCAACGTGGTGGCCAGGTAGAGCGTCCTGAGAAAGCAAAGGTGGTCACCTCATAACTTAGAAAATAAGAGATGCATTAGAGACAAGATATAGCCACCAGGAATACATTCCTTCTAACCTACTTTCTCCATCTAAGCCCCATCTCCTAAAGCTTTAGACCCTCCCAAAATAGTACCACCTGTGGGAGACCAAATCCTCGTAACAGGGAAGCCCTTGGGAGACATTTCCTACTGGCTCCTAGAGGCTCATATGTTAGTATGCTTGGTCCCAATTTGGTGAAAGTACTTGGGAAGAATTAGGAGGTGTGGCCATTTTGAAAAAGGTGTACCTCTGGTGGTGGGCTTTTGAAACTCCATTCCCTATGAGCTCTTTCTGCCTCCAGGATGCAGGTAAGGATGTAAGCCCCTCTCTTCTGCTCCAGGACCATGTCTGCTCTTCTGCCGTCATGCTCCCAGTCATGATGACTATGGACTTGCCCCGATAAGCGTTTTGTTTTTTCCCCTATAAGTTGCCTTAATCATAGTGCCTTATCACAGCAATAGGAAAGTAACTAAGGGATATACCAAATTAGAACAGTGACTGAGAATTGATGGGTAGGAATTCAGAAGTTTCTGTGGAAACACAGATTTTTAAAAGAGGGGCCAGGTTTTCACGATAGGATCACAATTTCTCCTTAAAGACAAGGAGCTGGATTTTTGCCTGGTCAGAGGCGCTCTAATGATTGCTGCTTTCATGTTTTATCCAGGCCTCTGAGCTTGCCCATGAAGGCCACACATAGCCATCTCCAATAGCTCCTTTGCCGCAAATGCACAGCATTCTCTTGGCAGCCCCTGCCTCCTAAACGGTCCTCTTTCAGATGGCAAAGTCCACATCAAAGAGGACAGAGGAAATCCACTGAGGGTTCATTTTACATGTTTTTGCATGTAGCATTCAGACACTAACATACTCATAGCTGGGTTTGCAAGTCCATTTCCTCATGCAAGCAATCTGTGATGATGCTGAAGTCATACAAATAATCAGACTTCAGCAATGAACCTGGTCTGTCTCAGCAGCAGTGATTAAATTCTCTGCAGAGAGCGAGAGCTCCCTTAAGCACCATTAATATCCCTGGGACAATCATTTAGAGATTAATACTCGCCATATTTAGGCCATTTCCCCAAAGCACCAAGAGACTCAGAGACATCAATAGATTTAATATCTTGAAAGGACCTCACACAGTTGTTGATGATGGTACAGTACTTTTTAGGCCCTGAGGAACTGGAAGTGTGTGAGTGACTCAATTAGGCATTGAATTCTCCTTGGGGAAAGTGAGAGCAGCACATAGCTCCCCTCCCTTTGCTACCCGTTCTCCCTACCTCTTCCTCTTTGATATCTGGTACCATCATAGGGGCCTTGCAAAGTAGAGACAAGGAGATGGGTTGCCCTGCTTTGGTTCTCCATTGAGGAGCTTGCAGAGAACAGGACATAGAGATAACCTGGCTAATGAAACAGAGTGAGCTGCAGGCTTGCCTGGGTTGCTCCTGATGGCGCTCAGCTGGCAGACCCCTGACTTGGTTTGTTTTATTTTCACCCTGCTGATCTTTGACTTGTGGAACTATTCCTCTGATCAAGGACCTGGGAGCCAGTGAAGAGGACCTCCAGCCTAGTCAGCTGCTCCATGGAGCAAAGAGGCAGGGATCCCAGTATGTCCCAGCTGCAGAGAAAGGCTTGGATGGAAATTGGTAAACGCATTCTTTTGTTAGCTGGTAATTCTGTTCTCAGCCGCAACATTGACTTTGAGACAGGCAAAGGATGGCATGGCCCACTGAGGTGACTGGAAAAGGTTTGAAGGTCAGGATTTAGCACAGGCATGTTTGCCCTAGAGAGTGCTGACCAAACCACAGCATCTAGAGCCACAGAGCTAACTACCGCAGACCACACAGTAGACAAGCCTGGCCAATTATGACACTCCCAGAGAATATTCTGGATGTAAACCATTTCTGTTGTGTATAGGCAAGTACCAGAATCCACCTTCAGAATGATTGGGTCCGAGAGGGAATGGCTGACTTCAGGCAAAGCTGCACGCAGGCCTTTAGCTCCCTCCGGGGCTTCTGCCTCTCTCTCCATCTTTTTGGGGCTTGTTTTTAGGAGGACTCCTCTAGAGTAGGTTGTTAAAAGCTTGTATCTGAGCCGTGCAGTGGTGGCGCACGCCTTTAATCCCAGCACTCGGGAGGCAGAGGCAAGCGGATCTCTGTGAGTTCGAGACTAGCCTGGTCTACAAGAGCTAGTTCCAGGACAGGCTCCAAAACCACACAGAAATCCTGTCTCGAAAAAAAGAAAAAAGAAAAAAAAAAGCTTGTATCTGAGAAGAACTAGAACATGTAGTTCCTGAAAAATATGTCTGATAGGTCTATCTGCTGGCTGAGGCTTTTATTGGCAGCATTTCTTTGGACTACCTAGTAACAGGAGAAGCCCTTAATACCCTGGTCTCCCAGGTCAGGAGATATATGTTTTTAGGAAGGGGTGACAAGCAAACCACAGGGTAACTGAAAAGAAGGCCCCATGGCTTCCCATACTGATTTCCCAAGTTACTTACCACTTACTAATTATGATTACCAAGCAACCTAAATAAGCTCCCTAAACCTCAGTTTCCTAGGTAGTGAGTGGCAATAGAGTCATCACCTCCCCCTGCATTAGAGTAAAGGGTGAAATTCAGAAGACCCAAAGGACTCAGTGAAGTTCTTTTTGGAGGGGCGGGGGAGGAGGTGTTCCACTTACTTTTTCTTTTTATTCCTTTCCTTTCCTTTCCTTTCCTTTCCTTTCCTTTCCTTTCCTTTCCTTCCCTTCCCTTCCCTTCCCTTCTCTTCACTTTTCTTTCTTCTTTTTTTTCTCTCTCTCCCCCTCCCTCCCTTCCTTCTTTCTTAGAACTATCTTTACACATTTTACATATCAATCCAGTTCCCACTCCCTCTCCTCCTCCTGCTCCCCCCACTTCCTCCCCCCCATCTACTCCTCAGAAAGAGAGAAAGGCAAGACCAAGACCAAGCCCCCCACCCCCACCGTATCTAGGCTGAGAAAGATATCCTTCCATAGGGAATGGGCTCCAAAAAGCCAGTTCATGCACTAGAAATAAATCCTGGTCCCACTGCCTGTGGTCCTACAGACTGCCCAAGCCACATAGCTGTCACTTACTGTCAGTCCCTGAGTCAGTGAACTCCTGCTAGCTTGAGTCAGCTGTTCCTTTGAGTATCCGCGTCATAGTTTCACCCTTTGCTCATATTATCGCTCTTCTTTCTCTTCAACTGAACTCTGAGGGCTTGGTCCAGTGCTCAGCGAAATTCTTAGCACGTAACAATGCATCAGCAACCTGCAGGAACTTCAAATGGTGATTCTGGAGATAGCCAGATGTATAGAGTGGGCAGTGTGTTGTTTTCTTGGCATATGGTTTTAAACTGGGAGGATGGTGTCCCACACATCTCGAAAGGCCAGTTTCGCCCACAGGTTTGGAAGCACTTGCTCATTCTTGTCCAGGCAAACAGAGACCATGAATGCCTTTCTTCAGTTACATAAGTGGAAGTGAAGGAAAGCGCCATGGCTGATCCAGGACTAGTAATTACAGCCTCTGTTGGGGCCCCTTGCAAAGCACTGGAGTGCCCAATAGACCATAGCCTCCATCCTTGTCTTTTTGCTGTACATTCAAGATTCAAACCCTTAGAATGTAGATAATATGTTATCCAAGAGAAAGACATGGACAGAAAGAGGACATTGGTATCATAGATGAATTGCCCAACGTGAAGGACTAGCATCTCCAGGGGCTGTATTGGGCCAATAATGGAAGAACAAGAGGTAGGGGACAGATGTTTTTTTCTGCGAGATGAAAATGATGTAAACTTTACTAAGCAAACTCTCAGGACAACTGGGGGCATTCAAATAAGGATTGTATGCTAGATCCCGTTGCTGAGTTAAGTTCCTTTTCTGAGATCCAGGAGTGTCATGGTTCTACTGCAGGGTGTCCTCTCTGAGGAGTTGGATGTTACAGTGATTAGAGGTTCTACTGTGAATTCCACAACAGTGGCTCAAATACAACATAACAATGTAAGCGGAAAGAGGCAACACACTGAAGTGAGTGAGACAGAATACAGAGATACTGAAGATGTGGGGGAAGTGTCAATAAAAGTGAAGGCGCGCAAATTCTATTTACTCTTCTTGCTTTTTTTGTATACTTGAAGAAGTTTGTCTTACCGACAAGTTAAGTTTTAATAAAGTTTGAGGGGGCTGATGCTGGGTCCACCTGTGATTTTCCTCTGTTGGAACCCTCATTCCTGATCAAGGTGTCTCACCCTTTTGATGAGCGTGGCCTGCCTGTCCTCGAAAGGGAGCGCTGTCACACCATCATGCACTTCCCACCAGTCTTCTCTCTGTGACTTAGAGACTCTCCTCTTTGTCCCCTTGTACAGTAATTCCATCAAGCTGGTGAATCTGCTCTCCATATTTATCAGCACGTGGCTGACTGCAGCTGGATTCATCCACTTGGTAAGTGGCCTTGAAGACCCTGCCTTCCTGGCTGGCCGGAAGCAAGCCCTTGACGAGTCTGTCGTTTTATTACTTAGTGATCATTCCTTTGAGGAAGACAAGTTTAGCTGTAGACACACGAAAGAGGAACAAACCACGCAGTTTTTCAGAATTCCCTACCCTTTACTCCTCCACAAACTAGTTCCAAATGGTGAGTAATACTCGCACCCTGGACCTGTATTTTCCAGCTTTGCCCGCATTGTTTGACTTGCAGTTTCCATTTTGTATGCAATAACCTAAGCAAACCACCAGATGGCAGTGCTTCCACACCAAACACCGAGAAAAAGTCGAGCACCAAAGCTCAAAGTATGAAGCACACAGCTCTTTGTAAACAACAAATTCAGATCCCTGGATGTGTCCTTCTCTCTCCAGAATTTTGCATTTGCTTGATGACATGTCAAGTTGTTTCAACCTGCCTATGGTTTTTATTTTATTTATTCATTTATTTTATTATTATTATTACTTTTTTTATGATTCTTTGAATGCTATTACTAAGTCCAACCCTGACACTCTACTCCCTCCCCGGGATGATTTCAGAGAGCATAGTTACTATTAAATACATATTTCACATGCACTTAAACTGTTACACCTGGAAGGAGCCCCATCAGACTACAAAACTTGAAATGAACGACTTTGTTTCCATCAGCTGCTAAACGAGATAATTGGGGATTTTACACAACGTTTTAAAAACACATAGATTTATTTTTAATTACGTGCATGCCTGTGTGTCTGTGTAGAGACATGTGCAGATGTGTGGGTGTGCTCATGGAAGCAAGAAGAGGACTTTACGTATTTAAATCTAGGAAGAGCTATGGTTACAGGTGATTGCAAGCTGCTAGAAGCAAATGCTGGGCTCTGAGATCCAGTCCTCTGTAAGAGCAATATGTGTTATTAACTAATAAACTACCTTTCCAGTCCCTACCCAACTATTTATACTGGTGACATCCTAATTCTTGCTGAAGCCCAATGCTAAGAACAGTCTGCACTCCCCCAGGTCCTGCTAACACCCACTCCCTGCTCCCTGGTGGGTCCCTGCTACACTCACAGGGCCCGGCCTAGTAGCTGTGCAGACCTCAGGAACTCTGCAGCCCTAGCTGACCTGATTGTTGGCCCTTTCCTGAGAAAGTCTGCAGGGCGGTTAGTCTAGAGATTCTGTGGGTGCAGTTCCTCTTATTCCAGAGGAAGGTTCCCAAGCTGGAAGTGCAGAATTGCCAGTGGGGCTTCTGCAGAGAAAGCGATTGCAGCCTCAAAAGTGGGGATGATGTTTGGGGATCAGGCAGATCCTGAGTCAGGTCTGATTTCCTTAGTTAAAATGATGAAAAAAAGTGTAGAGCCCTTGTGGAAGGTCTAGTACATCAGGAATTCCCAGGGGGAGATGCTGAAAGAGCCGTCTCACATCTGCCTTAAAGGGGATGCTGTAAAGGGAGCAGAGCATCAGAATTTCAGAATGTGAAGTTCCTCCCCATCTCCTCTCCTTGATGCCCGATTCAGAGGACATTGCCTGTTGCTACTTCCTCTTCTGTGATACCAACTGAGGGTGGCTAGCACAGGCTGGCACAGTCTCACCTATACTGAGAAGAGGACACTTATGTAAAAAGAGCCCTCTGGAGCTCCCGGGCTTCCTGGTTCCCATATACAGAACATACAGACTTCTGATGGGTTTCTTTTCTCTTCCCAACCTCCTCTTGCTGCAGGTGGAGAATTCAGGGGACCCATGGGAAAATTTCCAAAACAACCAGGCACTGACATACTGGGAATGTGTCTACTTACTCATGGTCACAATGTCTACAGTGGGCTATGGGGATGTTTATGCCAAAACTACGCTTGGACGTCTCTTCATGGTCTTCTTCATCCTCGGGGGACTGGTAAAACAACCCTCTTTCTTATTATGTCCATTTTAATGGCGATTCATATTTGCTACTACCCACTTCTTTAGGCTTTGTGTTCTGCACTGGAAGCAAGTAACTGCCTTTATGCAACCAGGCAAGCTAAATCCAAGCCCCATGGTGATTTCATTGTGCATTTCTGTAGTGTTATGTTTGTCCCTTAGACCCAGGCATATTGTCCTCATTGGGGACAGCCACATAGCTAGGAACAAACCTAATTGTCTTAAGAGATAGATGCCATTAATAAATGAGAGTGTACTTTAGTAGCGGGATTCAGATACGGTTGCTGCTGCTGACTCTGGGAGTTGCTGTCCAGACTCTGCAGACAGATGGCGGTTTCAAGAGTTCCCTTCTCAGACTTCCAGCAAGCACTGTGGCTGGCACCTGCCCTAAAGAGCAGGGTCCCCTCATTTAGGAAATGTCACTATAGTAATAACCTGACTATGTTCAAAGCCTACTCCCTTTATCTCCTCAAAACTGACTTCCCTGGTCCCTATGTATTAAGAGGCCACCGCATACGATGGAACTCCAGGGAGTTTCCAGGCAGCATATTGGCAGTTGCTGCAGTTTGTCTTTCAGAGTAGCTCATAATAAAGTATGATCACTTTTCTTCAGATGAGGTAAGCGATTAAGATTATAGTCCACAAGCAGTTGTCGCATATGTGCACCACACACACATTTATATGAAGTGATGCATACATTTCTCTCTGTTCTGTATGCATAGGACATACACATTTTGAAAATGTATATAAACGTGTGTGGTGGTGGACATTAACACCATTTCTGCAGGGCCTGTAGAGTAGGAAACCCCATTATCCAGCCACAGGACAGTCTTGGTTGGGCAAAACATGGCAGTTTCATGTCTCCTTGCTATCCTCTCCTCTTGTATGATTTCCATAATTGACCTCTTATGCTTTTTAGTCATTTTAAATGAATATGTTTATTTTTAATCCTCTTTTAGTGCTCAGTGTCTTTAGCCACCCATAAAAGTATTCCGCTTTGTGTGTTATTTGGAAGGGCTTTTCTGACATTATTATATGCATGCATGTGCATGGGTGCCTATGTTTGTATGCCTGTGAGCGTGCGTGTGTGTATATGCACCTGTGTGTGTGTGTGTGTGCACGTATGACTGAGTGCTTGTGCATATGCACTTATGTCTGTCCATCCATGCATGTCAGTGTTTGCGTGTGTGTGTGTGCAGGCGTGTGCTTTCACAAGTCTGCAAGCCTCTTAGCTACTTTTCTTCAGAAAGAAGACATCAACTCATTTACTCTTGTCTCCTTTATTTTTTTTTTTTTGACTGTGGTTTGTTGTTTTCTAGTCCTCTAGGCTGACTTCTGTTTGTTCCATCCTGTGCATTTCCAGGAACATTCCCCTTTGTCCTGTTACTTTTGTATAGTCCGACACATGAATATGCGCCTTTACAGGTCTAATCCTTTTGTGTTTTCAGATCTTAGTATTCCCCCTTCTGAAAATGTCACCCTTTCTTTGGCCTGTCTTTTTAGTCTCTCTTCTGTCTCCCCTCTTCTCCTTAGGCCATGTTTGCCAGCTACGTCCCTGAAATCATAGAGTTAATAGGAAACCGCAAGAAATACGGGGGCTCGTATAGCGCGGTTAGTGGAAGAAAGTAAGTATGCCAAGAGGTTTCGCGGCCTCCGCGGCGTAGGAGCCTGTCTGCATGCCTTTTCTGTTTGGCTCTTGTTTCTTTGTCTCATGCATGTAGGCAATGTTTGCCCGCTACGTGCCCGAAATTGCTGCTCTCATCCTGAATCGGAATAAATTCGGCGGAACTTTTAACAAACATGGAGGCAGAAAGTAAGTCAGTTGCATCATAGGAGATGTGCTTGATTGACCTGAAGAGCCCTGTGCCTGCAGCATGGGATCATGCCCCTCCCCTGCCCTGCCCACTTCTTCAATGAGGGAGGGTGTACATTCTGCACCACCAGGGTTTCAGAGCACAGAAGATGGTTGGACCCTCTTGACATCTAGTGGCCATTTATATTCTCCAAGAGATAACGGTGAATTTATTTAAAGGGGTCCATGTGCAGCCTGAACTGTATTTTCTACCCTCATCATCCTTAATATATACACTAAGCTCTTCTCATGAGCTGGTGACATGATCGAACTCTGGTCCCTCCAACTGAGGTGGCATCATCCCCTGGTAGATTTGACATGTGCACTAATGTGGGCTAGAACTACAGCATAGGGAAGGCCTGGCCTGTCTGCCCTATGGAATGCCCATGACCACCAGGAAACGTTTTCTCTGAAATAGTGATTTCCCCACTTGTGTGTTAAAAGGTCTCACTGCACAGGGGAAATGCCTCCAGGGCAGGGAGTGTTAACACTTGTGGTGTCCAGGTGCCACAGGCATGCTGGATTTCCCAGAGAGGAAGCTTTCCTTCTTTGGGAACAATTTGTTTGTGCCCAGGTCACTATGTCAGTATCAATATCAGGGCATGCATCCAGTATGGACTAAAAGTTTTATTCTAATGCCGATGCCAGGACCTTATTCTCTTGATCCTCTGCCAGAGGACCATCTCAACAGAGGGGTGTTGGTGGGAGGATGGGCTGGCTGCAACCATCTCCAAAAGTCAGCAAGTACTTGCGTTGAAAGCTTTCAGAGAGCCATTCGGCTTTGCTTTTATTTCAGAATATGACATGCATAGAATGGAATGGCACAGATCCTGTGCACACCTAGAGGAATGTGCACTGGCCTACATGGCAGACCCTGCCATCCACATCTGTATTAAAGTGTGGAAAACTGCCCCACTCGTGCCCATGCTGTGTCCCCCATCATGGAGCTCTTTTACCTTGTTAATAATTCTTACTTATTGCCACATGATTAGCTTAGTTTGGTGTTTAAGAGAACTACAACGGCCTATAGGAAATACCCCCCCCCCCCACACACACACACATACACATGGCTGCCCCTTCCATCTTGACAGTTGGCCCTGCTGGATGGAGCTCAGGGAGCTTCTCTATGATTGCTGTCCAACGCATCCTGAGCTCAGGTGTCCAGTCCTCTCTTCAGAAAATGAGGAGGTGGAGAAAGGGCTCATTTCCTTGAACTACCAACAGGACAGCAGTTTCCTCTCATAGACACAAAGGACATTGGGAAAGGAGGCCAGTTGGCATCTTCTCAGGAAGGCGGTGTGTCTCCCCATCTCCCTCCATAGGCTTTTCCCCTTCCTATTATCTTAACAGTCTTGGATGAGGTTAGAACTAAGCTGTCTGGATGTCTGGGCCATTGGTTAGTTCAAAAAGGCCAAATAAGCCCAAAGATTCTCGCTCTGTCATTTATCTTAAACCAAGAGGAAAACAGTTTCCTAATCCGGTGTGCCTTTGAGATATGGACAGGTCTTTGTAATGTAGAAGACATTCTGAGAGTTCCAGGCCCTCATTATAGCTGTCCCAGCGCACTGGTCTCAGCCAGCATCTCTTTATCCCTGTCCCCAATGAAGTCAATAAAATCAGTGGCTTTGAAACCTAAGTTGAAAGTATTTCTTGACTCTCATTCCAGGTGGGAATATTTTCTTTTTTTCGCTTTCTTCTTCTTCTTCTTCTTCTTCTTCTTCTTCTTCTTCTTCTTCTTCTTCTTCTTCTTCTCCTCCTCCTCCTCCTCCTCCTCCTCCTCCTCCTCCTCCTCCTCCTCCCCCCCTCCTCCTCTTCCTCTTCGTTCTCCTTCTTCTTTCTCTTTCTTTCTTCTAGGGCTGTTGCCTAACAGATTTTGTTGATGGGTGGTCCAAATGAGGTCCCGAGACCAGTACTCAGTGCCCTGCCATGGTCTGATCTGGTGAGGTTTAAAGTCTGGCGTGTTCACACACAACCCCACCTGCTGGGGGCTGCAGATCACAGCGCTCCTGCAGTCACATTCTGGCTCTGTAATCATTTATCACTGTTTTAGCCTGGTTCCCTCTTCCCTTTTTTCTTGCCCCTTTATGAAAATGCATTGTGCTTTTAATGTTCTCCTTGGGTCTCCAATGTCCCTGGACCCTGCAGGATATAGGGTATGTCCTGTCATCAACACCACACCGGGTCTGGTCCCTTTACTTTATGCATTGTTTCCTGGTTCAAAAGCTAATTACCAAGTAGTTTAAAGAAGCCCTTGGTCACTTAGATCTTTCATCAGAAAATATAGGCTTGGGAAAGGAACGGTAATAAAGGGCCATTAGCACCCCTTTGTTTGATGTTGTTTTTCCAGTCAGTAGAACAAGATTGATGAAATGTTATGTTTGGCCAAAATTTGAGTTTTCATTTGGAATTCAGTGTTGAGAGAATGGGCTGTCAGAATCAATAAGTTTCCTTTCGCTTGGGATATGGGCATGTGGTAGTAATTAGCAATATAAGCTCTTTACTTGAGCAACGAAGCATGGATTCTGGCAGCAAACATAATGAGAAACTACAGTTGTTCTATTTCGAACGTCAAAAAGTTTCCAGATAAAATTAAATGCATTTGCGAAAGGAAAGGGCTTAACTTTGTTGAGAGCCGGAGTTTAGACTCTTAAAATAGCAGGCAGCCCTTTGAGTCTTGGTGCACACAGAAATGCATGTGCTGTCCCCATCCACGCATGCACGCATGCCACTCCCAGGACTGAGTTCAGCAATGCCCAGAAAACAGCTTCCGTGTTCACAGAGTCAAGAGCTCTTTCGGTGTGTACATATTTTATCCAGAAGTAACCACTCATAACAACACGTTAACTTGTCAGACAACTGAAGGTAACGTATGATTCTAAACTGCAGAGACACAAAAGTCTGAAATTCAAAGATTGTTCAGAATAAAATTGTAAGTGTCTTGATTTGAGTAATTCTATTAAGTAAGAACATTATTTATTTAAGTAATAAATAAGTAAGGTGGAGAAACTTAGGGCTTGGAGGGTAAAATAGCTACATGTGGGATATTGTAGAATATGGAGGGTTCTTGGCGCTTTCTTGTGAGTTTTAATCAATGTGACTGGCAAAACTTCCTCCCCATCCACATGGAATCAAGGGCCTGGCAAAGCCTTTTCCTGAGCCACCCCAGTCACCCATCCTAGCACTAGGTCTGGATACCTATAACTGTGCCAGCTGCCATGTAGCTTACTCAGGAGTGTTAAGAGTAGAGACTTGAGTGTTAACCACTGAAGGGTTCAAACAGTGACCAAGAAAGTTGGAAATATTAGAGACAATTAGCTTCTTGGATCGAGATTCTAAATCTTACTTGGTATAGTGGCCTCCTACAGGCTAGCCTGCCTCCACCTGGCCTTGGCCTCATCTGCCTTCCCTTCATGTACAATGAGAGGAGCTCAGAGGCGATGGAGGCCTGGGGGACCCTGAGACTCCCATGGCCTTGGGGGCCTTGGTTTACTGTCTGTTTTCTCCCACAGCCTCTTGCAGTTTTCCCCCAGAGGTTTCCTCTCTGAGTGTAATGCATTCTACTCCTGGTTAGTTTATGAGAACTGACAAGATCATGGTCCAAGGTCATATGGCCAAGGGCCATGGAAAATAATTGGCCACAGAGAGGAATCCATCAGCCGTAACCCCTGGATAGAGACAGCACAGCTGGGGAGCCATCTAAGCCTTGTATTTCCCATGATGTGGCTTTATTGGCCCCAAATTGAGGCAGTCCTGGCCCAAGTGTTTGGGAGAGAGAGGACAGGACAGGTTTAGAAGGCTCCACAGATTTTTGGTAGCCAAACGTAGAGAGAACATGTAGAGAGAAAAAGATAAGGGTAAACAAAAGGGGAGAAGGAAACCAAAGGTTAGCATGGAAGAAAAACCTAAATGGTGACATCCCCATTCTAGAGTGGGGCATGGTTATTACAGTCAAACCCATACCTTGCTCCATTGCAAGAAGGCCATGTATAGAGTGTCAGTGCTACATGTTTCATTGGGCAAATTTTGACATCAGTAAGTTGGACCATTTTGAGATCTGTGACCTCACTCATGGTTTCCAGGAGAGAACAGTGAATTTATTTAAAAAGACCAAGTGCACCTGGGACCGTATTTTCTATCCTCATCTGGACCCAATGCTCCAAGGATGCAGAGAATAACTGTATCTCCTTCTCAGTCTCCAACTCGCCTGTCACTGCTGTCTGCCCAGGAGGCTCAGGGCTGCATGCATCTTCTGGTTTCTTATGATCGGGCCCTAGTTTAGCTATGTCCAGGCTCTTCTCCCTAAGTTTCTTTCCCCTTCCTAAGACCCTGCTCTGTGTTTCCGTCTGCCTCTGCACATTTTGGATCAACACTGGCTTCCTTTCTACATTCTCCCTACCTCCAGGTTTTTCCCACAGTGGTTCCAGGTCATACTTTAGCGAACCAAGCACTAAAAGTCCAGAATGTGGTTCTTTATTTAGAAAGATTCATTTAGTTTACCCCCTCTGTGGTCTACCCTTGCCTGAAAGAGAGTCACCACGTGTCATACCTTTGCGATTTTTGTTTCAGATGTGTTTATTGAGTGCCTGCTCTCTGAGCCTGGCATCCCGGAGAGACACATTCCAGCACAGCCATTAAACCCTCCAGCGACACCACAGCCCTGCTACTCTCTCTCAAGCTCCATGCTATCTTGCCACCTTAATGGTTGGATAGTTCAGCCTGAAAACTTTAAAACCTGCCTCAGTTCCCGGAGAATCTTCCAACAGTGCTATGGCT